AGTGTCTGTTCTTTCATACTTACCAACAGTCACCGTACCTAACCATTCCAGAGGGATCAGAACACACATGGATTCATCCTACATTCTGATCAGGAGTAGAGAAAGGCTCACAGGAACATCAAACATATGATGAGGAAGGCGGGTCTAGCACTGAACATGACAAAATAGTTGTGTACATGGCTAGTCATGTTAATCATGTCAAAAGACCAAGAATAATTTATTCTTTATTATGTTAAGGGAATAAACTTCAACAAAAAAGTTAGTCTTGTTACTGACCTTTTCATTTCCTGACAAAAGGATGTTATTTGGTTTTTTGATGTTTCATGTATGAGTCACATTGCAGTTAGCTATCATTCCATATATACTTTCCATCTTCTGGTTTTGTTGTTGTTTCCAGACAGGTTCTCATATAGCCCACAATGGCTTCATATTTACTGTGTATCCTAAGGCTGGCTGTAGCAGAAGTTTCTCATCAAGACTGCCAGTCACAAATAACAACATGGAGCTTATTATTAATTATGGAAGCTCAGTCTGACTTCAATACCCCAATCTCAACATTGGATAGATCTGCTAGACAGAAACGTAATAGAAAGCTGAGGGAATTAATAGAGGTTGTGACTCAAATGAACTTAACAGACAGCCTTGCCTACAGAGCTACTTCCAGGACAGCCTCCAAAGTAATACTCAGAAACCCTGTCTCAAGGAAAAAAAAAAAAAAAAAACTTTGTCTGGTCAGGAAAGCTGGATCACATAGTAAAGAACTTGTTACAAAAGTGTAAGAGTCAGTACCCCCAGCTCCTCCACAAGCTGGGGCATCTGAAGGACCTGCCCACACACAAGCACCTGCTCACACAATCAGCCAGGGCAACAGGTGCCACTACCATGAACAAATATATAATAAAGAGTAGGGAAAGATAAAGTACATAATGGAGAGATGAGAAAGAAAGAGAAGTGGAGTGTCTCATTCACTGTGGGGAGAGGTAGAACTGGAGATGCAGTAAGAGGTACCACCTGAAGCTATGTTAATGTCCTGGGGCAGCACTGCCATGGGGTTGGGGAGTAAGGTGCAAGTGATCTGAGCAACCTGTACTGCCACCTGAGGCCATTGTGATGTCTGGAACCTGCTGCCACTGAGGGCCATATCTGGTTCTGTGGTCCTACTGTAGCCAGGGTATGGATGCCCATGGCTGTGTTGCCACCAAAGGCCAAGTGGATGTCCATGGTCTAGGCTGAAACCTGAAGCCACTTTGAGGTCTAACCTCTGTACTAAGCTGTCCTTGCCCCTCTCCAGCTGCAGGAGAGCTGGACCCTCCCCTCACCTGAGCAGTGTGAGAGAGTTGGCATCCAGAGAAGGTGAGCACCTGAGAGCTGGCTTCACCCCTTGTCTGATGTGTAGTGGCTCCAGCAAGGGAGAAATGGTCCTGTGCTTTACTTGGTCTTCACAATTATGAGCAACATCAGGAAAAAGCAAGACGGTCTCTCACTGAACTTTCAGGCAGGTGGCCAACAAACCAAGTAACCCTCTTTTCTCTGTCCCCTCTCTCTCTGTGACAGGATTGCAGATACACATGTAACCAAGCCTGGCTTTCTACATGGCTAGGTGATAGTATCTGCACCTAGGTCCTTATTCTTAAGCAGTAAGCACTCTCATCCACTCAACTACATCTTCATCTCTGGAGAACTTTGTTGCTTGCTAGTATATTCAGCCAGGAGGAGAGAACATACACAAAAAATGAATTTTGCATAATTGGCAGTTCCAGGAAATGAAACTAAACAAGATCATACTGTAGCTGGTTAGCATATAAGTCTCCCACCAACTTGCCTTGAATGCTGAAGGAATATGTCACATGGCTTATCTTTCATGTGAAACACAAAATCTTCACTTAAAGATAGGCAAGTTATTAATGATACCTGTTTCTGAATATTCTCAGCCCAAGACTCACAGTGCAATGACCTCAAATATATCACTCAAAGTATATAGAACACTCTTGACAAATAAGTTGATAGAACATCATATGAAGCAAGACATTCTGAACTTTCCCACACATGCATGTGAATATGCAATGAGATGTCAGAAAAAGGTTTCTTCAAAGAAATTCAAATATTTAAAACCAAGTATGTTAGCTACATAAAGGATTATTGAAAAATCCATTTTAATAAGATGAGGTGAAGTCACATGTGTTCACCAATAATTTTGCTATCACTAAAAAGCAGATAATCAGACCAAGAGTAGCAGTGTACACCTTTAATGCTGGCACCAAGTAGGTGGAGATAGGTATATCTAAATAAATTTGAGGCCACCTTGATAAATACAGTGAAATCCTGTCTCAAAAACAAAGAAAGCAGATCTTTAAAAAGCTGATAGAAAAATACAGGCAGGCCCCATTCGTTTTTAAGTCTGTCTTTTCACATTTTAAAGACTAAGAGCTCAATTGTTTCCCATAAAAAGTATTTCTGGACTTATCAAGACAAGTTGGAAATCAAGTAGAAAAGAAAAAAGGATACAATCCAAAGACCCTAACCAGCTTTACAGCAAACTCAAGAGCATCTTTCAATAGGTAAAGAACCATCAATATATTTAGCCCTTCATCAAACCTGTGAAGAGAACAGCTCTGGGACTTAATGAAACTATATATGTTTGGGGAGAAAGGGGAGCAACTAAAGAACAGGTATTTCATGCTGAAGCAATTATTTGTGGCACTTAAAGTGAATCTTTACCAATTATAAACAGTGCAATCTCTCCTGAGACTAAATGCTACAAAAGTAGCAATATCCTGAAGAAATCTTTCCTTGGCAAAATTAAGAAAGCCATATTGCTGGAAGAAAACAAACAAAACTACCCCTTTTACTTTTCTGATATGTATTTAAACTGAAGTTATGAGAAACCTTTATTTTACAGAATATATCTTAATCTATTTACTACAATCCTGGAAACTATCTTTGTCGTGCCCATTAATGGCCTGCTGCATCACAGATGATGAGAGGTTTCTTCAAATCCTCTATGTGAGAAGGGAAGCATGTGGAAGTCAGAAGCCAATCTATGGGAGCTGGTTCTCTCTTTCTATAATGTGGGCTCTAGGAAGCAAACTAATGTGAACAGTAAGCACACCGTACCAAGATTTCATGGAATCAAGAAAGATTTCAAACTGAAATCCTCTCCAAATATTTCTAATGAATGTTGAATTTATTATTTTATTCTAAAGAATTTTAAGTATAGAATACATCATACAAAGCTTACAATACATGATATTCAAACTCCCAATAAGCGCTTCTTTGATTCCTATGAAAAAGTTTAAATGATGGAAACTTTTGGTAAACATCTGGGGTTTTGACAATTCTGTTCACTTGTAAGTCTTGAATGTATTACCATGAGTCTAATGAATCTTTGCATAAATGAATGGTACCACATTTAACGTTACTTATGAAACCTTATGTTTAAAAAGATAACATCCAAGAAATAAACATGAGAATATGACACTGAGTTAGCCTGTCTTACTAAGAAATTATATTTAGTCTATCTATATATCAATCTGATGAAGCATCATTGCAATAAAGGACCTCTTTCTTTTCTAAGATACATACAAATACATCAATAATGCACATAGGAACATTTTCCCTTGCATTATCTCACCAAGGATAGTTGTCATTATTTTAATATCAAAGTTGCTTTATGAATTTCAAATTATAATCCCATTAAAATATTTTCCTTCTCTTTGTTCCTTTTTAACATTTCATTTATCTGTTCTATGTTTGGATGAGAACACATATGCAATCCCAACTCTGGAAAAATAAAACTAGTATACCACCATATAAGATAAAGCAATCCTGACAGTTCTTGACACTAATTTGTATGATACAAATTTATGAAATCAATTTCCTGTGAAAAGGGTAGGGTATGAAAGTCATATTACATTTATATCTCTATTAGCATAAATTAAAAGAGGTCACTAACAGTCATTAAAAACTGATGCCAGAGCTATGTCAGAAGGGAAAGAAATAATAATGGCCAATAGATAGGAAGTTCTGATGTGGGAAATGTTCACATTGTTCGCACTGAAAAGTCATCAACAGTTTACAGTGCACCTTGAATGACGGAGAATAATGATTCAGTCTTTGGATTGAGTATTTTTGACTACTTTTAAGCACCTGTGTATGAAATTTCCTGAAGTAGCTATCCAGATTGGTAAACTTTTTTTTTTTTTTTTTTTTTTTTGTTGTTGTTGTTGTTATTTGATTTTGCTTTTCAAGACAGAGAATCTCTCTGTTGTAACAGACCTGGATGTCCTGGAACTTACTCTATAGACCAGGCTGGGCTCAAACTCCGTATGCCTCTGTCTCCCATGTACTGGGATTAAAGTTGTGCACCCACCACTGACATGCTCAGATCAGTAACTTCTAAAAATTTCATTTTTTGAGTAGGCATCCATTATATTTTGTTGTCTTTAAAATTATTTTGCCTCTATATTGAAAGCATTTTTTATATACTAATTTTTTTACAGCGGTTATACAATAAGGATGAAGTAGAATATATGGCATTTGCAAATGTTATAACAACTGATAACATTTTATATCAGTACACTATCCTTTTCTGTGTGTGTATATGCAGGGTTCATGTGTATGTTCATGTGTGAGACAATATGTTTCACTGAACCTGGAGCTCAATTATTTAGCTAGACAGATGGGCCAGGAATCCTCCTGTCTCCTTCTCTCCAGAGCTGTGATTACAGGTCCCTTTCTGAATGTACACTAGAGACCTGCACTGTGATAGATCATCAGGATTGCACAGCAAAGGTTTTACCAACTTAGCCAGCTCCTATGCCCCACCAAAACAGTTTTCAATTATATTTTGAAAAGTATCCCTCAAAACAGAGACTTTCAGAAAGAATTTTTTAAGTCACAAAACACTAACAATCACCCTCATATATTTTAATGTAAGCAAAGATTTTTTTTTTACCTAGAATATTTGTACCTACTATATTAGATATTTGTGAAAATCTTACCTAAAGGTGTCATTTGGTAAGAAACACATCGATGTCTCCACAAAGAAATGGCAGATCTCTCTCGATTCTGCAGTTCTTTTAATCTTTCTGCTAGGCCACCTCTGTTTAATGAATTAAAGTATACTATGTTTAAATAAAAGAAAAGGTCCTCATAACAGCTGCAGCTTTTACATTTCATACCCCCGACCAGAAAGAGATAAAACAAGGAAAACTGTATTGCATTCTCTTTCTGGGCATCATTTTCAATTCCTCATTTTCTTAGGTCTATTTCCTGATTCTCACCAAAACTGGACTGCTATTACAGTCACAGAATTTTCAGTTAAGTCAGTATGATTCCCTTTGTACACTTTGTTAATTTGTTCACTCCTCAAATGTGCTGTGCATTTACTACCTGCATTTATCACTTGAGGTAGAAAATGCTGCATCCTACCATGCAAATAGGGATTTGAGGGGGAAAAAGGGAAGGAGTAAAGGAAAGAAGGATCTATGGATTTCTTAAATTACTTTCCTCTATTTCATATACCCACCTCATCTAAATTTCTAAATCTGAAATTTACAAAGTACCTCTCTCCATTAATTCATGCCGAAGAATCTACCATCAACTAGCTTAACTCCTAATGTGTTCAATCAACCACTTCCCATTCAAAATATGTTGTCTCTATTACTTCATTTCTAACACTGTAACTACTTTACTTCCTGGATGACAATCAGTCTTCACCCAGAACAGACAGAGGCTTACTACCGTGTCTCCTGCATACAAAACATGCTTGGCATACAGAAGGTTTTCAATAGAGTTGGGAACATTATGTTCTAGAACGGAATAATCATCTGCACCATTAAAATCATTCTAATATCAAGCACAACATCCTTCCCACACACTTCATTCCTAGTAACTAAACGCAGAACCAGACATATGCTAAACAAATACTATCACTGAGTTAGATTCCTAGTTTCTGGATTTTTGAGATGAGACCATCCTAGTCTGACTTCAAATTCACCAAATCACCTAGGCTTGTCTTGAACTACAATCCTACTGCTTGTAGTATGATTAGAGGTGTGCATTATCATATCCAATTACCATTCTCTTCTGAAGCCACAACTTCATTTGGGACATTGTTGGATTCAGAATGGCGTGACTGTGACTATCTTGAGTCATCATGTCTACCCAGTATTACTAGAGGGTTTCACTTATGGTATTTCTCACTGTGATACAAATAAACTAAACCATCAGAGTGGTATATATAGTTGTATAACTGGACCTATCAGCACCAGGTATGCATTTGATGTCCCTGATATTAGCTTCATACTGCCCATGTCCCTCTTAGCCTGTATGAGGTCATTTTCATCTTGACCATTTAATAAGCCCTTTCCTTTGACTCAAATCACAGAATCCCACTGGTCTTCCTGCTGTACACAACCACACTTCTGCCACTAAGTCACTAGCTGTACTCTGGGTAATTGTGGATCTTTCTTGTTCTTTGGTCTCATGACACTTTCCCGGGTTTTTGGACACTAGAAAGGGTTGTCCTAGAATAAAAACAATATGAGAATGGATATAAATTTTCTCAGAATAATGCAAGAATTTCATCTTTGCAAATACTGTTTCTGGAAATACCAGATTCTAGGGACTAGATTCCTTTCAAGACATAATCAGCTAAGTCTTTTCATCCAGAGTATGAGTTTTAGCATCAGTTCTTTCCTATGTGCCATCCACTCTTTAGCTACTTGCTCTCAGTCTGCTATGGAAACAGTGTTAATAAACTCATCATCCTCAAAACAGTGCCTTCTTTCCACTGTGATACATTCTCCTGGAGCTCTCTGCCACTTTTAGTTTAAGGCACTGGGGGACATAGGTTCCTTCTCATTCTTGTTGCCCCCTCCCCAGAAACAGGAACATTATTTGGTTCCAATTTATAACAAAGACACCTTGTGTGATACCTTGTATGACATGAGGTTGGGGCGTATTTCTGAAGGCTCCTGCAGACTAAAGACCACCCACTGATTAATACACTAGTAACAAGGATTTTTCATCCACTGTGGCTCTCCTCAGCCATATGGGGTATTTTTATCCCTCAATCAAGGCTCTCTTCTACTTTCTTACATTTTTAGGCATTAATTTGGCCACTCTCTCTCTTACCATACTCATGCCATAAAGGTAAACTAATGGACACACACACACGTATGTGTGTGTGTGTGTGTGTGTGTGTGTGTGTGTGTCATACTTGATAATGACACAGTGATTCACCTGTCTTTATCTGAATACCAACATTTAATAAAACTTCATAGCCAAACAACACATCTTCACTAAGGAAACCAGTCATATAAGATAGTCATGACCAAATTCACTAATGCTCCACTTAAATGAACAACTTCTTAAACTGGCTCCTGAATGGGCTCACTAACTGTCTATCAAAACCAAAATTTTATTTTATCAATTTTCTTTCTCAATAAAACATGTACCTTAAAATTAAAGTCTCAGTTGATATGTTAAAGAAAGAAAAGAACCAAGGAAAATGAAATTACAAAGATGACTTAACCTTAAAAACTTCTTCTTTGTTGCTGAATTTTCTGTAGACTTGGGAAACTTGGCCATGTATTTCTGGGGTGTGCTCAATATGGGCTCAGTTGAATTTGCACCTGAGTCAGTCTGTCTGTTCAAAGACTGTCTTGCATCTGATTTGAAATCCACTTGGTATTTGTGAGGGGATTCTGAATCAATGAACAGGGCATTCTCTGGGTCATCTTCTTTGTCACTATCTGATGAATACTCCAAAATTTCTGTAGAAATTGGCTGGAAAATTAAAAGAGATGTAATTAAATATTCTTCATTTAAGCCCACATGTATATATGGTTATCACTGTTTTCACAAAAAAACCTTAATACTCAAAAATAAAGATATGAATAAGTTAAACTAGTTGCAAGCCAGACATTAGTTTATAGACTCCATCAAAATCAACCTAAGTGGTTGTTTTGTTTTGTTGGTGTGTTGTTTTAGTTTTAGTTTTTATCATCCTTCACAAATTAATAGCACGTGCCATATGTACTGGAGTACATTCAATGTGAACTAGTAACATACCTGAGAGTCTAAAAGCAGTCATTACCTGACACTCACTGGGGGAGGTATTTCTTAGCTTTTAAATTTTAATGAAGAGGTAACATTCACTATTTGTCGTGAACCAAATATAAAAAGACACTGTCTCTTTAATTATAAAGCATTTTAACTCAGCAATGGAACCTCTAAAAGTAAATATGAAAACTTTCCTTTTCTGACACAATTTCAATATATTTAATAGAGTTGTTAGAAATCTTTAACATAAACAGGAATTATTTAAGAATGTGAGAAGTTGCCTATCATTTCTTAAATTATTTCTTTCTTATTTCGCTCAAATTTCTGAACTTCTAAGATTATTATTAAAAGTGGAAGAGAAAACTGAAATTTGGATCATAAGGCCATCTTGTAGGATCTAATACTTTCTTTTGATGTCTTCTGTCTTTGATGTCTTCTGTCTGCTCGGACACACACTAAGTGTGCTGGATTATAATGCCAAATAGCAACAGGCCAGAGTCATCTGGGAAGAACAAACATCGGCTGAAAAACTGCCCTATGTAGCCAGTGTAGCACTTTCTAATTAGTGACTGACATGGAAGCACCTAGCCCGTTGTGGGCTGTGCCACTCCTGGTTGGCATTCTGGGAGTGTGGAAGAAAGCAGATAGAAGGTCATAGGCAGCATTACTCCACAGCCTTGTGAGCAATCACCACCACCACCACCACCACAAGGACTGAGCAGAGTTCTCTATCACTTAGGTACACTCTGTGTACTCTTCATCAGAAACTCTCCACAGCCCAGGTACACTATAAAGTGTAATTCACCAGCCAGAATTTTAGGCTTGCACCCTCAGGCATGGCTGAGAATTTTTCTTTAGAATGAGGATTTCATTTCATCCTAAAGAAAGATCTCTCAATCTCAGTTCTATTGCCAGTTGGAGCTAGACAATATGAATGCCAGGTACTGTGGAGTATTTAGTAACATCCCTGCCTAACTTTGCCAGATGACAGGAGAATGCTAATGTGGCATGGCAGGCGACTGTAAGACCTTATAGAAAGAAAGGTGACATAGATGAATTATTCGGATCTGTTCAGATATTGGACTGGCATATACTCAGGGTTTAGCTATGGCTACTGCTTTACAAGGGACTTCAGTTAAGAATATGTTACTTCTACAGAGAATTCAAAGCATAGGGAGGAAGAAAAGCACAAAGCCTTCTGAAGGTTGCTTTGGATGTGATCAGAAAGGACACCAGGCCAGGCAGTGTCCTGACAAAGAAGTAAATGGAGAACCTGGTCTGTGCCCAAGATGCAGGAGAGGAAAACATGGGGCAAATGAATATAAATCTAAGAAAGATGCTCAGGGGAATCCCTTGCAGGGAAACAACCTAGGGGGCCCACTTCAGGCTCCAAAGACAAATCTATGGGGCAATTCAGCAACAGATTCCTCCTCAGGGAAATCCATTCAAGATCTCTGCAGAGCCACGTGGGAAATGGACTGGACCTCTGCTCAATCGCTCGCGTGATTTTGACCCCAGAGGATAGGGGTGCTGGCTCTTCCCACTGGCGTTTATGGTCTGTTGTCATGTGGCACGGTAGGATTGATATTAGGGAGAAGTAGCACAACCATGTAGGGAAGTTTCATTGCTCCTGGAGTGATTGATGCTGATTTTGAAGGGGAAATAAAGGTTATGACTCATTCTTCAAATGGAATAAATCTCAGTGGTAAAGTTAGGCCAGAGACTTGCTCAATTGATCTTACTCCCTCAGGTGAAAACAAACAACCAAATTAAGAAAGATAAGAGAGGGAGATCTGGGTTTGGCTCATCTGGTGCATATTGGTTACAAGCCACAGATCACCTTGTATATAAAGAGCAGAGCCTTTTCTGGGTTTATGGACAAGGGTGTGGGAAGTCAAGTTATTACTGCCAGTCAATGGCCCTCAACATGGCCAAAGATTGTGACCATTAAACAGCTGCAAGGGATTGGTCAGACTCAGGATCCAGGACAGTGTAGCAATGAACATGAATGAAGAGATGAGGAAGGTCATGAAGGGACTTTCAGCCATTCATTGTTCCTCATTTACCTGTAAATGTGTGGGGCCCGAGATGTTATGGTCCAAATGGGAGTATATTAATATAACTCTAATGCAGCCGTAACTAAGCAAATATTCCAGCAGGGAATGTTACCCAATCAAGGACTAGGCAGGGAAAATCAGAGGAGAATTTATCCCATCTTGCCTAGTAAGAAACATACCAGAGCGGGATTAGGGCATTTTTAGCAGAGGTCACTGAGAAAACTATACTCCATGCAGATCCTATTATATGGAAAAGTGATGAATTGGTATAGATAGTTGCTGCTATCAAAAAAAAAAAAAAAATTACAAGCTGCTCAGTAGTTAGTGCAAGAAAAACTGGACAGTGGTCATTATTGTACCTTCTAATTCCCCATGGAATTCTCCTATTTTTGTGATTAAAATGAATTCAGGAAAATGGAGATTGATACAAGATTTGTGGAAAGTGAAGGAGACTATGCAATTAATGGAAGCTTTACAACCAGGGTTGCCGACTCCCGTAGCTATACCAAAAGATACCTATAAAATTATTGTGGATTTAAAAGTTTGTTTTTACACCATCCTTTTGGCTCTTCAAGATTGTTATAGATTTGTGTTTAAGTGTTCCATCAGTTAATTTTAAAGAACGCATGAGGAGGTACCATTGGAAGGTCTTAGCCCCAGGGCATGGCTAATAGTGCAATGTAGTGCCAGAAGTTTGTGGCTCAAGCTGCACAAGTTATTATGGATGAATTTCTACAGGTCTATATTGTTCATTATATGGATGATATTTTGCTTGCTCATAAGAATGAAGAAGTTTTGCTTGCAACACATGGACAGCTGCAGCAAAACTTTGCCAGAGCAGGGCTAATAATTGCCCCTGAAAAGGTGCACAGACAGCCACCTTTTCAGTATTTGGGACATATGTTATATCCAAAGAATTAAGCCTCATAAATTAGAAATTAGAAAAGATTGCTTACAATCACTGAATGCTTTTCAGAAGTTGATGGAAAATATTCAATGCACCTACTGGTAATCTGAAACCTCTAAGCGATATTCTGATAGGAGATAGTGATCCTAATTCAACTAGACAGCTAACTGAAGAAGGCAAACAAGTTCTCTTACAATTGGAGAATGTAATCCAGCATCAGCAGATATACTATATTAACTATGAAAAACCATGGGAGGCTTATGTGCTTCCTACACAGTATAGTCCTACTTCTGTCTTATGGCAGGAGGGATCATTATTATTACCTGTTTCCCCAGCCAAAGTGTTAAATCCTTATTTTGAAGGAGTAGCTTGCATGGTACAGAGATGTCATATGGAGTCTAGGAGATATTTTGGCAGAGAACCAAACGTAATACATGTTCCCTATACCAAACAGCAAGTTGGTTATTTCAAAATAGCAATTCGTGGGCAATCACTTTTGCTCAATTTTTGGGAAAAATAGATAATCAGTTTCCAGCTCATACACTGTTGCATTTCGAGCTAATGTATCCTTTTATATTTCCTAAAATTGTAAGTAGTAGTCCTATTTAAAAAATGCTATGTTGGTTTTTTACTGATGGCTCTTCTAAAAGAAAAGCAGCTTATGTTATTGATGATAAAGAATATGTAGTACATACAGATCCAGCTTCAGCCCAGATAGTTACAAGTTGTTGCAATAGTTTTTCAGATTCTAGTGAATGATTTATTTAATTTGTATACTGATAGCCATTATGTTTTTAAAGCTCTTCAAGTGATAAAGACAGTTCCGTGCATTGGAACTAGTAATGATCAGGTCAGACTACTGTTTGATTAAACTCAGAGTACCATTCACCAAAGAAAGTCACTGTGCATTTGTAAGACCCTCAGAATGAGGAGTCTCCCAGTTTCAGTCGGTACCCCAAGAACTCAATGTCCAGTCCAGTTGCTGCAACACACAAGAGGCTTTGCACAAACGGGCTCCCTCAGTACACAGGCTAGAGAGAAGTGCCATTCCCCCAGGCACAGGTGTTTTTAAAGGCAAAACCCACAAGCTTAGGGAGGGGGTAGGACCCTCTGTCCATTGAGTATGTGACCCTTTGAGGCCAGATGGTCTCCCTGTTAGGGTCAACAGACCTTAGGGCCTCAGGGTGTGCTAATTAATCTTGTCTGGGCAAACCAGAAGTGCAGCTATCTCTTTGTTTCCTAAGAACCCTATTTACCACCTGTTGACTCACTGGAAAGGAGGGGCAGAGCAGTGTGAATCCTTGGTATCCTGCCATCTCAGGGCCTTGTGAGGGGAACTTAGCAAATTCCAGGTCAGACTATCCTTTATTTTAAGTGTGTGGGGTGTTCTTTAACTTTACTTTTTTGTCTTTCACTTTGTGGTTCATATAAGAGCTCATTCAAACCTTCCCAGCGCACTGGCTGAAGGGAACAAGTCAACAGATAGATTGGTCGCTTTATCTCAGTTAGTATTGGCTCAGCAGCCACATAGCTTTCATCATCAAAATAGTAAAAGTCTAAGAAAGCAGTTTGGTTTAACTAAAGAGAGTGCTCATCAAATTGTTAAACAATGTGATGTGTGTCCACAATATTTACCTGTAACTAATTTAGGAGTAAATCCACAAGGACTGCTTCCTAACCATTTGTGGCAAATGGATGTTACTCATGTTGCAGAATTTGGCAAATTAAAAAAAGTGCATGTGGCAATTGATACATATTCA